TCGACTGCGCTTTTAGCCACCATTGCGGGGCCCTCAGGCGATTGAAGGTTACAAGGCCCTCTCCCGCGAGTCTGAGCGCACCCCTCTTGTATCTGAGAGTCTAAACATCTCTTTTTTTGTCTTTCTCAGTCCCAGTCTGGTCTTTTGGTGTTGAGAGGAAGGCGGCAGGCTGGATTGAAACCCATAGGACCGCGCCAAGGCCTTTGTGGGAGGTTCGCCCCAACGATTGCGGGAGCTCTTCCGGCGCCCGGGCGGGGTTCTGGAGGCAGGGAACTTCAGGTATAATTTCGTCTGACGTGTGTGATCCTTTCCCCTAGCTATATTATTCTTTTGGGTATCTGAACATAATTATGGTAGGTTATTACCTTTTGTTTTGTTATGTATGTCAGGACATGTATTGTGAAAGGTTAAACGAATAAGTAAATATGAGAGTTCAGATAATCCCTTGAGAGAACTCAGACAGAATGAATGGGGGAAGGTGGGAGGAAGGTGTTTGCATGTGTTTGACCGGGTGAACCCAAGGCTGGGCCCCTCCGGGTGGATGTGGGCCCAATGCTATGTTTTATTGGTGTTTGCTGGGCTGTGTGAATGACTTTTATGACTGGTCCTACCCGGGTAGGATGGATCAGTCGCTGTTTCTTTTGGGGGTTCCTGAACAGGAGGACGGGCGCCCTGGGTAGGGAAGACTCAGAGTCCTGGTGTTTCTTTTAATGGGTTGAGGTGCATATTTTTCTGAGGGAACAAAGGCATAAGACTAAGCGTACCCTAGGGTTAGGGCGGCTTAGCCATGAGCTATGAATTAACTGGTCAACCAGAGTATAAAATTTGATACATATATTATTTGAACTTATACTTCTGACAGACCGGGCACCCTGGGTAGGGAAAGTGAGTCAGGGAGTCAGGTAGAACTAAGGGAGAAAAGGAAACAGATAAAAAATAAAAAGAAGGTAACTGGGCAGGATGAACGTACCCTAGGGTTAGGGCGGCTCAGTTGTATGCTCATAATAACACCAAGGAGCAGAAAGTTAGTATAAATCTGTTTTTATTTTCCCTTCTAAACAAAGCGGGCGGATCGGAAGTTCCATTATTTGGAAAGGTCTGATCGACTGCCTAACAAGAGAAGGAAAAGCTTAAAGTATGTGCAAGTATTCGTATCAAATTAACTGTTGTATGGCTGACTAGGCGTACCCTAGGGTTAGGGCGGCCTAGTGATATACTTTGTCGTTGATGTGATGTGAGTTGGACGTACCCTAGGGTAGGGCGGTCCAACTTTTTGTCGTTTGTACTTATGTCCAGGCAAGTTAGGCCTACCCCTGGGTAGGGATGATCTAATGTTATGCCATATGTAACTTTGTACAGGGAAGGTTGGGCACACCCTAGGGTTAGGGAAGCCCGGTCCTATGCTTCATGTCGTTATTTTGGCAGAAACCAGACGTACCCTAGGGTTAGAGCGGTCTGGTCATATGCATTACGTATACAGTTCATGTTATGTTGGACACACCCTAGGGTTAGGCTGTGCGTACCTTATCTGTTATTTAGGCAGATCAAATACACCATTTTATTAGGGTGAGTCTAACCGTATGCCATGGAAAAGGGGGACTTAAAGGAGAAAAAAATTGAGAGATGTAACGAACTACTTAGGTCAAACTGATGTGGGATTGTGAGAGATGTTTGTTTATGCATGCTTGTAGGGTCTCACTTTGGGGTGTCTTTTTGATAAGTTAGTTGTTTAGATGCTCGCTAAGTGTTGGAGCCATAGATAGATGAGATGGATGATGGGAGAGAGAGCTTGGGATAAAAGATAGGATTGACCTTATTTAAAAGTTAGAGTTGACGATAGCTCACGATACCATCTTCTGAAAGGGGGTCGTATAAACTATCTTCAATCCTAACTATCGAGCAAGTGTCAGAAGTTAGTCCCAAGTATAGCTTGCTTTGTCTTTCTGTTTTTCAACTTTGTATAAATCTTGACAGCCTCCTGTTCCTATGGGAAGCGCTGTCAAAATTTCTACAATTTTGAAAGAGTTGATTGTTTCTGGATTCATAGAAATTATGGAAAGGCATTTTTCCTACGGGAAGCGCTGCCGAAATTTCGTAGAATTTGAAGAGTTATAATATTTTTAGCTAGGAACTACCTGGCAGATCCATCCTAGATAGGAGAGCTGTTCAGTGACTTGCTACTAGATGAGGAGCTAGGTTACGACTTAGGGAGTACTCTCCTTTCGGCATGAACATAGTAGTGGTTCTTTTGGGCTGTAAAGCGATGCAGGTTTCCGTATTTCGCTTGAAGGCTTGTTCTGATCAGCCTGATCCTTCCAAAGGGTCACTCTTTAGTTATCATTGATAATAGGTCGGTTGCTGATTCGTCGGTTCACGACTCAACTTTCATGTTTCTTCTGCCTCTCAACCTAAAGCCTTGGCCCTTGCCGAGTTTTTATGTTTTCTTGGGCTTTCACCCAGATTCTTTACAAATGTCCATTTCTTAAAGACTGAGTATTTTTTTGTTGAGGAAAGGTGGGGAAATGATTGGGCTTGTGTGCATGCGGCAGGGTGTGAGCTGCAAAAGGCTGAAAAGTTGACCCCTTTAGTGTGTGTGATGTTGTTTGAATGTTGTGCGTATGATTGGAGGTATGTATGGGAGAATCTCGATTAAGTCTTGTTGAATGATTATGTTGTGAATCCAGATGGGCAACCCACACAACTGTCGTGAGAGTGAACTACCACGCAACTCTTTGTGTTGACTGTGATTGTCATTTTTTTCACTTTGATATTGTGACAAGTAAAGTAGGCATATGTTCGGATAACCCTCACGGGGCTATGCGGCCATGTGCTTACGCTGTTTTTTTTTCTTGTTGTTTTAGTTGGTCGGACGTCAGTCCCGAGCCAGGAATTCGAGATCCTTGTCCATGACATCCCAGGTCCTAGGCTCAGCGCAGAAGGGATCACCCTTCGCACGGAGGCTGATTTGCTAGCCCGCACGACGCTGTACCTGGGAGATAGAAGCGCTGCGAGGCTGAGGGGCTGTCCCCCAGCTAGTTAGTCCGGTGGGGTGTTCATGTTTTCTTTTGCTAAAATGTTATTTTTCTTTTTCCTTGTTTTAATTTATTTTGGTGGAACGATAAAGTTACGGGCGGAAGGTTTAACGGGTCGCTGGTGATGCGCCAGACAACTCACCACCGCTCCGAATTCCTTCCTGCCCTAGGGACCATCTTACCCCGCACCCTTTGGGGCACCTCAGGGTGCAGAAGACGGTAAGGCCCTCAGGCCGGCTTTGCGCTCCCTAAATGTTTACCCCCCTTAGCGCGCGCTTCAGCCGACGCCCGAGCGTCGAGGGTGGCCCCATGGCTCGAATAAGGCCACTCAATTATGGTTACCACATAACGCGCCGTCATCGCGACTGCTTACGGAGGACTGCAATTGTCGGTCGGTATATGTAAGTCCTCGTCCGCGCGGTTTTATACTAAACCCTGGGCGCAACACTTACCGATTTCCGCCTTGGAAAGTTACGGGTCAAGCGGAAAGGACAAAAGCATGTGGAGGTAAGTAGACCCGAGTTTCGGTAAAGCGAAGCGACGCGCGGACGGAGTACTAGCCCCAAGCGGCCTATGGGGATCCCGCATTTGAGCTCCCAACGTTTCGAACTTCGGTTTGCTCATGGGTCTGATTTGGGCATTATCCACGCGCATCATTCATACTGACCTGCCTCTTCCAATTGATAAGGCCTATCAGGTAATACAAGTTGGAATATGGGTTAGGCAGAGAGGGAAAAGGGGGTGAGCCTCTTTCTGTATCTGCGTTTGCTTCCTCCTTTGAGTTTTCATAGTTGGACGTTGTAGTCCGTAGCAGCCGTCAAAGTCAAACCCCTTGATTTTTGGCTACCACGACAACCCTGAATCTGTCTACTCAACCCCTCTGCACAGGGTGCAGAAGAGGGTGTGGTCTTCAACCGCGCATGGCGGTTGTCTAGCGTCGAGAGGGTAACTCCTCAACGCGCTTGTCAGCCGACACTCGAGTGTCGAATACGACCCTCGAGATTATCAAGGGCCGCGCGGTAACGAGTACTACCTAGCACTCCATCAGCTCAAATGCTCGCACATGCCCGCATGGCTGGTCGATATGAGGAGGCCATGCGCTCGCGCGACTGTTATACGAAAATCCAGCGCGCGATACCTTTCTGATTCTCGCTGTAAAAGTTATGGTTTGGATACTGAAGGGACTAGGAGTGTTGGTGTGTTGTAGTGTTGTTTGTGGTGACGTTGTTGCGTCATTTGGTCTTATATGTGTGCGAGTGTTGTGGTGTAACGCGTGGTGTGTGTGATGCGTCCTAGTCGACCGATGTTGAGTCGCGTTTGGGACCTCAGCCCCCAGTGCGTCGATTCGCGTGCGGGTCCGATTTTTGGGCGTTCGACCACGCATAAGCCCTATGCTACAGCGAACGAGAAACGCCCTCGGCTGGGCCACGTCTGCCATTGCATACGAAAAGCCTTCGCATGTGGTTCAGCAGCTCGGCGGGGATATGCCCACCTAAGGGATGGTGACAGCTCCCGCAGATGGAGGTAAGTGGTGCCTCGCGTGACCCTTTCCTGTCGTAGGGGCTCGCGAGAGTTACGACTGGCGCACTCGGCCGGAGCGGCAAACGCTCTCCGCGACAAGTCTTGCAAAATCCTGCGTGACGCGGCCGGGCGGGTCCCCGTGCGGGACCGATGCGCACGACAGGTGACGCCCTTGCCGAGGATCTCGGCTGCCTACCGGGGTCCTTAAAAGAACAAACCCAGGTTAAGTGCAGGCTGATGATCCAGGCAAAATGACAAAACTTATGGTTTGGATTGTTTTATAAAAGGGAAGCGTATATGATGTAAAAGATATAACACGGGCGGTAAAAACTTATATGATAGGAATAAGCGATTAGGAGTGCGACTAAAGGTTGTATTTGGGGCTTTGAATAATTAGTAGTAGAGTGGTTAGTTGAATTTAGAGGTGGAACGGCTAGGTATGACTTAGGACAAGTCCCTTGGAACTTGACAAACTGTCTGGTGGGCTATCTTTTTTATTCCTACCAGGTTGGTTAGCAAAAGGATATAAAAATGTTGGACGCAGATGGAATCGAGCGAGACCCGGCTGCTACGCCGGAGGACTTTGTCAAAGCCATTGAGAAAAGAGAGTTGGCACGGTTGCAAGTGTCGAAAGTTGACATCTTCCTGTTTGAAGGGAAAAGGGTGTCTAAGTGGTTAGAGTTGCTGGAACAGATTACAGGCGAGGCATCTGATGGAGACAAGTTCAAGTTTCTACCCAGATATGTCTGGTGGGAAATCTGGCCCGAAATAATGAAGGTGGCTGCTGGAGCAAGGGGAGATTGGGCCAAATTCAAGGGAGAGATGCAAAGACGTTTCAAGCTGGGGGATGGCCTGCTAACAAAGGCAGACCTAAAAATGTTACAGCGAGATGAGTTCACTACTGTGGGGGCTTTCGCAACGGCGTTTGAAAAAATGGCAAGAAAGGTCCCAGGGATGGCAGAAGAAGAGCAGTGTGCAACAATCCTGTGACAATTCACAAATTAGGAGGCCTCTGCGCTAACCAAGAAAGGTGCGTCATGGAAGAAGTTGACTTGGGCAGCTATAAAAGAAAGTTTGATAGATGGGGAATTGGACCAAGTGGACATTTTTCAAATGCGGCAGGCTAGGAAGAAGAGGAAGGCCTTGGATGCCACAACGAGTGATGGGCGAGATTTTAAGAAGATGGTAGAGGATGCGGTAGCCTAACTCGATGCGGCAAAGGAGGCAAAGGCAGCAAGAAAGCCTATGACGGCCCCACAGGTCCAAGGAAAAGCAAAAAAGACGGTGGTGCAAGAGGAGGAAGAAGAAGAGGAAGAGGAGCCTGAACCTCTAAGGCTAACAAAGGCTCAGAGGAAGGCAAAAAATTTGACTCAAGGGGGCAAGGCTCAGGAAACGGTCAAGTCCCGCAAGCAACAGCGCTGCCACCCCCTGAGTCACATGGTCAGGCCGCGCCGGCACCCTATGGGCCGTGGCCGTGGCCGTGGCCGGGCTCTGGACCTCCAAGTCCTTGGCCTGGGTATAGTCCATACATGCCATGTTCGGTAAGTGGATCACATGGATCATGCGCAGGAGCGCCATTGAGCACGGCTTCCTGCGGATGTCCAGGGCCCCAGTCTCAACAAGGAAAGAGCCCGCAGCCGAGCCAACCTCAACAGTCGGCACCACAAGGATCGTAAGGAAACCAAGGTGGCGGACGTGGACAAAATCAAGGATGGGGCCGATGGCGAGGAAATGGTGGCCGCGGAGGAAGCGAAAGAGGAAATGGTGGTGGTAATTCCACAGGAGGAGGAAATGGGGACTGAAATGCGTCAAGAAGTCAGGGTAGTCAGGAGGGTGGACGAGGCTTTAGTAGAGGAAGGATAGATTGGAGGAATGCCATTTGCTGGCATTGTGGGCAGAAAGGTCATACCATCAAATTTTGCCAGATCCGAAGGAATGACGAAGATGAAGGGTTGATCAGTACCAATTATGATGGGGATATGTATGACAAATTTGGGTACTACATTGACCTAAAGACCCCTTGCGGAACAAGGAAGGAAGCCCTACGATGAGTCGAGGTAGGCATGCCACCCGCTCCTCCGGCTATGTTTCGGATTTGGCAAGAGAAGGAGGTCCATTGTGACATAAGGGTGGAAAAAGTATGAGAAAGTGAGGAGGTGGAGCAAGGAAGAAACGCCGACACCATCAAGGAAGATCCAATCGTAGTGGAGTCCGATGATGAGATAGAGGAAGATTGCTGGAATGAGGCACAGGAAACAAAGATAGGGGAAGATTGTTGGAATGAGGCACGAAAAACAATGGAAAGAATGGAGGACTTGGTGGCTAAAGTCGGGAGGTACCAACAAAAACTGGTCGATATGTGTGAAGAGGTTAAGGAGTGGAGAGGTAAGGAGTCACTGGTGTATCTCTACGATATGGGTCCAGCATCGCAAGGAGGGTCTGGGAACTTACCAGGCGTTACGACTTCAGGGCCGACGCCTCGGTCCAGAATGGCTTATAGGCCACCCTCCAGATCGGGGAGAGCACCGCAAGCTGTCAGGACGAGGGCCAAGGGGCCAATGAGCCCCAAGGAGCCGGCAAAAGATGTTCCTGAGCCTAGTGGGGAGAAAGAGACTGTAAATGTTTTAGGGGAAGAGGATGAAGAAAACGATAGGTTAAGGAGAGAAGAGGACGAGAAGGCCGAACAACGGGCCAAAAAGAGAGGCGCTAAAACCGATACGGACAAGGCGTCAGAAGGAAAGAAAAAGAAGTACGCTGTCTGAGTGGAGGAAGGGTTTGACATGGAGGAAATAATGGACAGGATCCTTGAGGGTCATAATCATCTTATGAACCTAAAAGATATCCTGGCTTCAGCGCCAAGGTTCAGGGATGCGTTAAAAGCGTGATTATCTAAAAAAATGGTGGCCAGTGTACGATTAGGGACCATAATCCCTAGAGAGGCGGAATGGGCAGAGACTGGTATAAAGATGGATTGGAAGTTTGTCGCATGTGGGTGCCTTGATGTAGTGATAAAAGGAAAGACTTGTACGACAATGGTGGACAGTGGCGCAGAGTTGAACCTCATAAAGAAGGAACATGCTTTGCGTTTAGGGATGAAAATAGATCGCTCCGACAACGGGGTCTTGATGGGGGCGAACAGTCGGTCAGTATTCATAGGGACCGCATCAGCAGTGATTATGGAAATTGGGAAAGTAAAAGTAAGGAGTTGTTTTTTCGTAATGCCTGATTTTGATCACCCCATTCTACTGGGTAGATCGTTCCTGAGTCGAACAGAGACTGTCATACTTAACAAGCATGACGAGACTATGTTCCTCGTTTTGTGTGATCCAGTATGTGGCAATTACGAGGTTGTCACTTGCAAGAATACGGGGCCTAGGAGTATAAGGAACCGACCCAACCCTGGTTCTTTCACTATTGAGGAATCAGAAGAGGAAAGGTTGAGGTTTGGAGGCAGTAAGATTGAAGAGGAAAGAGAGCCAGAAGTACTGACCCTTAGCCTGACAAACATAGGTGATGCCATGGACATAGTATCGACCTATGGGATGACGGACCCAGAGGGTGTGGAAGCCTTGAGAGAGAAGGTGGGGGAACAAATGGGAGAAGGAGAAATGGAATTGGTGTACCGAACGCCGGGAAGGATAGGTGGAACAGTTGGAGCCCAGCCCTAAAGTGCAACTCGGCCTTTTTTAGGGGTGGGTTCAAGCAGGGGTCACAAAGGCGGTACAAAAGGGTAGATTAGAAATGCCGCCCTGTTCCTGTACTCGTTGCTGAAGAGCAAAAAGTTTACTATGAGCGGAAGCGAGAGTTGATACAGCAGATGCGGGAAGGTGCAGAAAATGGGTCGTGCTGTATCACTCATGAGACAGAAAAAACACTGATTATAGGGGAGTCTGGCTTCCTTACAGCGCAGGAAGAGAAGCTTATGGTGGAGACCATAAAAGGAAGGCACACTGCATATGCCTTCAGTGATGATGAGAGGGGTCGCCTGGACGTGGACATAATCCCAATGATTAGGATACATACCGTACCTCACGAGCCATGGAACTTGCGAGGTGCACGATATCCTAATCCAACTGAGGAAGAAAAGGTAGTTAAATACCTCGATGGGAAGATCCGCACACATGTGGCAGACTACTCGAATGGGCCGTATGCATCCCCTGGTTTTGCTTTGTCAAACCCAATGAGACTTTGAGGTGGGTACAGGATTTGCAGCGCTTAAACGCTGTAACAGTGAGAGACGCAAGTGGTCTCCCCAACGCTGATGCGCTTTCAGAGGCCTGCGCTGGGAGAGCCATAATATCTCTCATAGACTTATATTCGGGTTACGACCAATTTTCTGTGTACCCATCTGACACACCAATGATGGCTATGCATACCCTTCGAGGTTTGATTCACATGAACGTCGCGCCGCAAGGGTGGACGAATGCGGTTGCCATGGTCGAGAGGCACATGGTGAGAGCAATGCAACCCGTAAGTCCTCACATTACGCAACCTTATATCGATGATTTGGCCGTAAAAGGGCCTAAGGAGAAGGATGAGCAGGAGGTAATGCCGGGAATTAGGCGGTTTGTCTGGAACCACGTGCGAGATTTATGCAGGGTCCTAGACTTGCTAAAAGAACATAACCTCACTGCCAGTGGGCCGAAGTCGAGGCACTGCGTGCGCGAGGCCACTATCTTAGGGTTTGTGTGCGACGCGAGGGGTCATCGGCCAGATACTAAGAAGACTAATAAGATTCTCGAATGACCAACGTCGTTCGAGACCATCACAGAGGTAAGGAACTTCCTGGGGACGTGTGGATTTTGGAGGATCTTCATAAAGGGTTTTGCGGCAAAGACTGAGCAGTTGCGAAAGCTTGTGCGTCAGGGCCAAGATTGGGAGTGGGGAGATAAGCAGGAGTCAGTAATAGAAGGTTTGAAGAAAGAATTTGAGGAAGGAGGTCTAGTACTAGGGGTACCGGATCATGCGGCAGTGATGACCAGACCATTTATTGTAGAAACTGACGCAGGGCCAACTGCTTTGGGAGGTGTGTTGATCCAACAAGACCTCAGTGGGGAAGAACGACCACTAAGGTTTGAGAGTCGAACGCTTAATATAACTGAGAGGAACTACTCTCAGTTTAAGCGCGAAACCTTGGCAGTTCTTCACTGCTTGAGGACTTTCAGAAACTACCTCTTTGGCAACAGGTTTGCATTGAGAGTGGACCCAACTGCTCTAACTGCTTCTCTCAAGAACTTCGCTCCTTCAGATCCAACTATCGTCAGGTGGCTAACGTACATCTGGATGTTCGACTTTGAGTTGGAGCGAATTTTGGGGAATAAGAATAGAGCAGACGGGCTGAGTCGGGTCCACTGGGACAAGAATAACCAAGGAGTGATCGAGGATACTCCACCGGTTGACGGGTTTCTGGACAGTGAGGAGGATGTGGGACTTCACATCAACTCCTGCTCGTTGGCCGTGGGTAACTATATTACGCTTGGGCGACCTGTGTGACTTGCACCACCAGGACATGTACGACAACCAAACCTAGTCCTTAAGCCCCATATCGAAGAAGACTCTTGGGGAATGCCAGGTTTAGAATGGATGATGGATCTGGCCTTAGCGGGCAAGTACCAACTACATGAGGACCTGCTCACGATTGAGAATGGGGCGCTGCAGGTGGAAAAACGCGAGAAAGCGATAGGTGGGATATATCTCTTGGCTAATGCGCTGCTTCAGGAAGAGGTGGCCAGAAATACGATACAAAGTCAGGAAGAAAATGATAATGTGCTCCACGAAAAGAAAGATGACGACTTTGAGGAAGGAGAGATTAAGGAAGCGTTTCGGGCAGAGGAATATGAGGGATTATACTTTGAACTCAGGATGCTTCTTTCGTGTGAAATGAGGGAAAGGGACGCTTGCGAGAGAGTTCTGAAAATGAGGCCAAACTTTCTAGTAATTGATGATCATCTATTCATGAGAAGCAAAGGAAAGACTGCCAGAAGAGTAGTCTAGGCGTCACTCGCCAGATTGACATTATGGCAGCGCTACACGATGGTACGGCAGGTGGCCACAGAAGTGCAAATGCGACATATCTCAAAATACACGAACTGTACTATTGGGATGGCATGGGACAAATGATTGATGACTATTGCAAATCTTGTGTACCATGTCAGGAGCGATCCTCTCTTAGACCTAGGGAGCCGCTTCACCCGAGGTATGTTCGTGAGGTTGGGGCAGTCGTGCACCTGGATCTGTTGGCAATGCCACTGGGAATAGGGAGTTATAATTTTATCTTTAATGCGCGGGACAACCTCTCTGGTTTTGTAGATGGCTGGGCCATTCGCACAAAGACTGGTGAGACGTTGGCTCAATGCATCGAAGAGTATTACCTCCATTACCCCTTTGTCTCCAGATTTGTGATGGATAGAGGGTCTGAATTCACATGTGCGGAAGTGAAGACACTTTTGAAGAGATATGGGGTAATCGCCGAGTACACTACTGCAGCGCATCCCCAAGCTAATGCACCTGTGGAGAGAGGGCATAGCACCATCACAAATCTTCTCGTCAAATGGACTGATGGCAGACCCAATCAGTGGCCGAACTTTCTAAGGGTCAGTTTTTCGGTGGATAATATCATTGTCAGAAGAAGCACCGGCTACGCACTGGCTACGCTATGGTATGGCAAACATGCAACATTCCTTATCGAAAGCTTCCTGAAGACTTGGAGGCGGCGAGACCTTGAGACTAATTTGACATTTGAGGAACTGCCTGATTCAAGGGCACGTCAGATTGGCGCTATAGAGGACAAAATTGAGGAAGCGGCGAGTAGGGTGGCTGACAATCGTACCAAGGACAAGTTCAGGTAGGATAAGATGGCGAGAGTAAGGAAATAACCTCTTAAGGTGGGAGACATTGTGCTGCTATACGACTCATCCCTGAAGAAGCAGTGGTCGCAGAAATTGGACAAGAGGTGGTTGGGACCGTACAGGTTCACTAGGAGTGGTGAGCATGGAGCCTACCAGATTGAGGAACTCAATGAGACGACGTGGCGAGACTGGGTGTCAGGCTCGAGGTTAAAGAAGTTTGTTGCTCGAGACAAGGTGAGCATGGATTTCACCAGCTAGAGTTACCCTCTGAGTACTTTAAAGGGGAAGGTTAGCATAAGTAAATTATATAGGATGTTGTTCTCAGTAGAATAGTGTGATAGGTTATGGCTTTTTGGATGGACTTGTGCATGTATGTATGCATATATAGATAGGCAGGTGGCTGAGATAGTTATGGGAGGGCTATGTCTGTCTCCTATGGTGTTTTGTCAAAAACTGCTTACCCTCTGTGTGCTTCTATTTGTCCCTTCCTGGTTATGCAGGCTTGACACCGCTTGGGGCAGCCATGCCAAGAGGGAGGGGAAGGGCAGGGCCAGTGGAAACCCCTTTGGGGGTGACCAGACAGAGGACGCAGACGAGGGCCAGGAGAGAGGACATACCTCCATTGAGTTGTTCGTGATTGAGTTCGAGAGGCATGCACAAGAGTTTGGATGGGATGGCACCAAGATATTAAGGGAGGTGCGAGGCACAAGCGAGTGGGTAGAGCCCATTGCCAGACTTGTCAGAGAGTCGCTGAGCTGGCAAGACTGTGAGAGGGAGATGGAGGGTTTGCACCCGTCGCCAGTGGGGAGAGATGGACAACCCATTCGATTCAACTCCACTAATCTGGGGGAGTTCCTATGGGCCTATGATCGATATGCAGATGACCTCAATGTTCCAGGGGAGAAGAGGATGGGGAGCTTCCTTCTGTACGTAAGGCAGCACATCAGATCCTTTGTCAAATCTATTGTGGCACCGACTACAAACTGGGGGCACTGCAAAAAACTGCTCTGGAACCACTATACTCTAGTCCATCAAGCAGGTGAAAGAAGGAGTCTGGAGAAGAGAAGGAGGGAGCCAGAGACAGCTGAGAGGAGTACCTTTGAGCAGTGCATGTCTTCAGGACTCAGAGAGAGGACAGGAGAAAGGAAGACATATCCCAAAGGCATGAAAGAGAAGGAGGGTCAAGTGGTCCAGGCATGCTTTCACAGCATGCTCAGATGGATGTGGACTGCCCCATGCCGGACAAGGAGCCAGACTCACCCCATGAGCCACAGATGCAGGAGTGCAAGGAGGACCAGACTGCCGAGGAAAAAGAGCGGGACATGATTGAGAGAGCAGCAAGAGAGAAAGAGATCAGAGTCCAATTCAGATTGAAGAACTTGGCAGAAATGAATGAGAGGATGCAGCAGGGAGAAGAGCCTGTGGTGGTGAAGGACAAAAGTGGTAAGGGCGTTTGCACTCAGGAGGAAGATCTTCCCCTATTTTAAGAGGTTTTGGTCAGCTTTGACAAGCTGATGGAGGCTGCAGGGAGATCTGGAGAACATCATCAGGAGATGGGGTTTAAGTTAGTCTCTACAGACTTACTTAACCTGAGGGGTGTAATGAAAGAAGGCTTTGCAGCAGCCAAAGCTTCGGATCAGAAGGCTGGGGAAAGATTGACGAAGGTGGCTCAAGAGGTATATGGCCAAAGAGTGGACTGGGAAAAAGAAGTTGAAGACTTGAAGAAAGGGTTGGAAAGGCAAAGCAAGGAGATGGAGCCAGTAAAGGCAGACATGGTGGAGATCAGGGCAGAGAACGAAGCCGTCAGGCAGGTCAACCAGACCCTCAATAAGGTGAATGACGTCTTGAGGGCCTACTTGCAGGCACAACAGTTTTCCTTCCAAGCCAAGGAGGCTGAATGGGAAAAGAGGATACAGGACCTTGAGGCCAGGTATACGCGACAGACCCCTACTGCAGTGGTAGATTGGACAGAGGTCCAGGGGTTTGAGATCAGGGGACAGACTGCGGAAGATGCCTTCAAGTGCCAGAAGGAAGAAGAGAAGGTGAACCAACAAGAGGGTGAAGAAATCCCCCTGATAGACAAGGAGATGTTGGAGCCACAGGAGGCACTAACTGGGAAGGACGCAGAGGGTGAGGAGTTTGAATGGAGGATGCCGGTGGGCCTGACACTTGGACAGGAGCCAGTGAGGCCAGAAGAGAGGCCACCAGGTGAGGCCATGAGGAGTGAAGTAGTTCCACCTACAACTCTGGGAGAGGTTGTGAGACAACAGGAGGTTCAGGAGAGTATGGGTCAGACCATGGTGGGGGCCGAGCTGGGAGTGGATCCGAGGGGTTGCCAGGAGTCCACCATACCTCAGGATATGCCTCTTGTTGCAGGTTTGCGGGATGCATTAGGATCGTGGGCCACTGGCTCTGGACCAGAGGGGCGAGTTGGTGAGCAGGTGGCGCAGACAGATAACATGGCAGCATGTCCCACTTTCTCGAAGGTTCCGCAGCAGTGTCAGCAGGAGGTCACGAGTAAGGTTACGACAGCCCCCTTATCTGTGCCCTCGCAGGAAGGAGACAAGGTGGAGCAGAAGAAGGTTGGAAGGTGTTTCTACTGCAAGAAAGGCAAACACCTACAGGAAGAGTGTCCCAAGAGCCTCAAGGATGAGGCAAAGGGGTTGTTTACTTGGGACTCATCTGGGGTACGAAGGGATAGGAATGAGAACCTGATCCTGAAGACTCGTGGTGGGATACAGGCGCAGTTGTATAGGCAGCTGTAGGAGAGCGTGAGTGATCGGGAGTAGGGTTCCTTAATAAGGTCCGGAAAAGTCTAAAGTCTAGTATGTGCAGAACATCTCTGACTCCCTGACTGATGGTTGCTTATATATAGGAGGACACATGGAGGATTGGATCAGACCCATGTACATCAGTGAGTTGAGCCAATAGTGAGATGCCTACTTTCGCATTTTAAACCTTTAGGCTTAATTGTACATAGGATAACACTGAGTATGATTTTGACTTTTTTTTTTTTTTTTTTTTCTTCGTTCTGTTAGTGTGGTATGGTGCGTTGTTAATAATACTTTGGTGTAAGTGGTGATTCCCTTTTCGTTCGGAGTAGAGTGACAGTCGAATTTCGGCTACTCTGATCCTTGGATAGATACCTTAATTCTTATTGATACTGTAAATCTATGTGGATACTTGGATTTTTTTAATGATACTTTGGCTATTTCGATAAAGGACAGGAATCTTTGCTTACTGCAAGGCCCCACATCCTGTGTGTATATGCGAGTCTCAAATCTTGTTCTTTTCGTTGTTTGCGTGATATGTCACACTCACTCTCAGTTGGTGGATATGACCATATGGATGATGGTTTGATGAAATAAATATTTTAAAATGAATTGATCTACGCTTTCTTCCGCTGTACTTGCGCATCCCTGTCCCAATGACAAGTGAAAGTCAAAGTACAGTAAAAGATTGTGCCCTTCAGATTTTTGAGAAAAATATGATATGATGTATGTTGCAAAGATGAAGCAATGATAAATGGAAAGGTCACAATCAAAGTTGTATTTTCTGTATGGCTTAGAAAAGAGAGAAGAAAGCCCAATGGCCGACTGGACTTTTCTTAAAAGGATGAGAATTGTGAGAACACTCAAAAGAGATGCTATAGTGATGATGAATTTTTGTGTGTATGTAAGTCTGACGAGGAAATGCCAAAAATTTTGTGAGAGTAATGGATGGAAATTTCTGGTCATTATGATGGAACTCTGGAAAATATTTTGAGATATCCCTAAAGATGTGTGACCTTACCTACTCTGATCAAATTAAGGGAGGCACTACCTTGTGGAATTACTAAGGAATTTGTTGGAATGGTTGAGAAAGGCACTATCTCTCCACGTAGTCCCGTGGGCCGTGGGTATGTAATCCTTTGTTTGTTCTGAAGACTTTTTAGAAGAAAGTGCCAGACCACAATGAAGTCAGTCTAAGGGATATATTTTTGTGAGGCCACGCTAAGGGGCTATACTTAGCATCGCTGGAACTGTAGAACGTAACTCCCAGCGAGGGCCACCGACCAGCACAACCTAGCAGCGGGACCGTGGCTTACCGAAGGTTAAGTCTTGAAGGGTTGGCCGCTTGGAGAGGCTTAGCTAGAGGGAAAGTCATTGGGGTCGATTAAGTCAAGAGTCGGGACCCTTCAGGGTACCAAGATAGGGAGAATTGCTTATCGTTGCGTAACCAACGAGGACACCATCACTACATAACAACGTGGTGGGCCATGCATTCGGCGTGATCGACCGTTCCATGGTGGGCCAAGATGGAGACCTGAAGCCACCTGTGTTAGACTCTAGGATGGACGTTCATTATGATTGGATATTTTAGATGGTAAGCGTTACCATTTCGGGACTAAAGGTGCCCGTATTTGAAAGAGGTCTCCATTAGGGCCCGCTTCCTAAGTTATGACCCTGTACGCGGGACAATGATTAAACAGGACACCCAACGGTGAGCCGGCAGATGTCTACGACAAAGGGAGAGGACTATCAACCTGCTACCTGGGAGTGGGTATTACGCTGTAGTACGGAACGTAGTATCGCGTGACTCCGAGGCCAGGACGTGGGAGACCCAGGTTGAAACCCTGGCAGTGGAACGCCGTGACGGGAGCAAATTGGTAAGAAAACCTCGAACGGAGTCGAGCCGACTAATTGGATTGGTTACTTCCTCGTCAGCAAATGTGGTTGTATTTATAGTTTTGATTGTCCGACTCGACGGGGACGTCGCTTAATAAGGTCCGGAAAACTGTCGGCCCGAATACCCTTACAAGGGTATTTGGGCGTCTTTTTGTAGCTTACAGGAAGTACGCTCTGTGACGGTATCTAGGGGCGTGTCCCATTTTGTGCAGCCATAACCAATCCTCAGGGGTTGGGAGTGACATACACTCTGACTTAATTAGAGAGTGGGTGAGCGTGCACTTTGTGGGCACGTGTTAGCTTGACCGAACATTTGACCAATGGAAGGCTATGAGACGCCGGTAAGTGGTAAGCTAGAAATCTTGAATGAAGTCGCGACCTCGCACGCACGAGTGAAGTTACGAGGAGCGCGAAGATGACCAGAGGAGATTGCGTCAGAGGAAGATTCTGTTTGACTCACTGAAAGGCGACATTCTGGGGTCGCACTATGGGGAGAGCACGAGTAATAAGTGTGACCGTGCATTTTGTGTAGTAGGAGCCGCGGGGCAGACTTTAGCTGAGTTGGCAAAGACTAGGTGCAGTATGGACAAAGACGGGTCTTTTCGGCGCAAAAGGCATTAAGTGGGCAACCCTGTTACGAATGTAGCAGAGTAGGAAGGCTTTAGCTATTGATCGCAGCATGACGAGGCTGCATGCAATGCTAATCGAGCAGAGGCTTGCCTTCTGACCAGCCAGCACGGGAGCGCGGTGTCGTACCAAATACCCTTACAAGGGTATTTGGCGAGCTTTTTGTAAGTCACGTCAGTGCAGCCTCATCCGAAGTTGATAGTGCACTCGCGGGTGAGAGTTGAGTTCTTGCCCGGGTGAGCAACGAGCGCGAGGTATCGACGGCAAGGCGCAATTATGCGCGATCTAGGTGTGCGCGGCGTCACAGGCCAGCGGGACGCGCGGCCCCTCGCCCCATTACCCTTTTTGTTTCCTCGTATTTGTTCTTATTTTTATTATTATTATTATTATTATTATTATTATTATTATTATTATTATTATTTTCCTACTTGTATTTTTACGGTTGTCTTTGACCCGGTAACCGGGTCCGAGACTGACGTCGGGCACCACGGGCCTGGCTCGACCACTACCTTGCCGGACACGGGCGGCCGTTACGACAGTCGAGGACCTTGATCACGCGACTCTTTCGACATGCCCGCTCGGGTTTCGGTGTGTTGTGGATGCTGGCGAAATTCTCTATCTGCCCGTCTTGATACTCGGACAGGGAGGTACGACGTGCGTACGAGCCGGTGGGTAAATAGCCCACGAGGCGGAAAGAAGCCTGGGTGGCGGGGTTCATTGCGGGATACAGTCTGCCGCCCGCCGTCTGTTGCAAGAGGGTTGGGTGTGAGCAGGTCTGTGGGACCAGCACCTAAGGACCTAGCTCAGACTGGTACACCCGCGGAGTGTGTGAAATAGGCCTGTGGGACAGCACCTGCCAGCCTAATTCAGTTAGTGCACCCACAAACTGTAGAGATACAGACCTGAGCTCAAACTCCACTGAAGGTGGGTGAGTGGGAGCTTGCGCCGCAAGCTGAAATACCACTACTTTTGTTTTTTGTTTTATTTTATTTTATGTTTTTTATTTTTTATTTTACCTATTTTCGTGAGGTGGAACCGGGACTTTGTTTTTTGTTTTATTTTA